AAAACTACATGTATATTTAATTTGAGTATAGTTACACCATTAATATCTAGCAACTGCTAATCTAATATCTATTTTAATCCATACAAAATTAGATCACACTTAAGATTCTCATGATTGCCATGCTAGATCATTGATGACCACAGAAAATAATGTGTAAGATGTGTGTTTCTTTGGTATGAACTACTACAATAAATCTCTCATGAAAATTTTTTCATAAACTAGAAAATCAAACTGCTTAAATTTTTTCAGGAATAATATCGAGAATACTTAACAAGAAATAAATAAGGGTATCTTGTGCTTAATGTCACTGATCCATTCCTGAAAATTAGATGACTGCATGGAGATGCTAATCGGGAGTCTTCTTGCAGTATTTTAAATAAAAAAATTATATCATACTATATTATCAATCCAAACTCCAGACCAATTTCCTAAAATGTAACTAAAACATAAAGTACCTGTACATCAATAACAGTTTGTTATAAGATACATTGACATGATGCTATGAAGCCTCTTATAGTATTAGCAATATCCACAATACATATTCCATTTGTTGATACTTGATGCATTTTTCTTTAAGTATCTACTGTGCAACTGATTAAATGTTTAATGTTACCAAAATTATTGAATCATGTGTCTAAACAATCAAAGTTTTTCTAAATGACAAATAAATTGATAAATTTCTAATAATTATTCTCTCTAGAATAATTATTAGAAATTTATCAACTTTTCAGATGTAAATTCAAATAGGAGTGTCTAAAAATATCAATTAAATCATGGATTAAATGTATAAAAATGAATATGGCAAATAAAGATGAGGCATGCATATACAGTACATGTCTTTGGTTGTTTCAGGAAAATCACAAATAGCAAAATTAATATCTGTGGTGTACAAATAAATATTTCACATTTTCTAAAGACACTCTTGGTGACTTTAGCCAAAGGAACAACTGTTTGGTAAGTCCATAATTGCAAATTAAATTTGATAAATAACCAACCCGTTTTCAAAGTGACTTCAAACGTGGATTTTCTGCAGGTTATCTGCACAAAATTGTTATTTGTAAGTTAGAGAAAGCTTGGTTTGCATTATCAGATGACATAATTTAATATGTAATACGTATGAACAGAACACAATTACCTATATACAAATTAATAAATATCCTACTCAAAGTTAATCTTTTTCTAAATATTTTAAGCTATTAATTGTTTAATTTTAAAAAAAAATGAATATCTAACTATTAAAGTTTTAATAAGACAGCAGTTCTGCTTAATTAGAATCAGTTTCTGTTAATAAATTAAATTAGAACTATAGAAGTAGCTTAAAATTCCAGCAGTTTATTGTTAAATTCTACCTTACTTCTTCTTAGATTATAAGAAAAAAAATACATTTTGTTTTATTGAAATGCTTTATTTTTCAGGAAAGAACCAATATACTGGAATCTCTTGATTAACACAATTAATCCCTTCACGTTACCATGTATATGAAAATTGCATTAATCAAATAATATAATGAATGGTAAAAATTACAATTCATCCATGATAGATTTCTGTGTTAATAATTTGCTTTTATAGTACTGTATTCTGTTAGGAAAAAAAATCCAGCAACAGTTGGTAGTGCCATCTGTTATATTACAAAAACTTTTATATTTTAACTATTATAAAATGGCAAAAAGCTTAATTTTGAGAGTAGGGATGTGTTTTATAAAAAATTGTAAATGCAAATAACAAGTAAAATCTTCATCAAGTCTGATCATACTGGATATACACGACTCCCTTTATCTCCCCATCTTGATTTTTAATCATTAAGTTTTAATAGCATCAATCCCCCTAATAAACAAACCTTTTTTCAATCAGCTTCTTTATACTTATTCTAACTAAATCATATTTATTTCATTTCTTTAATTGTCATTACTCAAAATTTAAAACTTTGGGATGCATAAAGATTTTTAAAGTTAATTATGCTCATTATATGGCATGCAAACTCTAAAAGGTTCTCCATCCCTGTTTTAGGATGTAAAATATTTTGAGCTTTCAGATTTTTTTGGCAATATACTTGACATCCTCTTGTGAATGCACTATTTCATTTTTCTATAAGTAGTCTGCTTCTATTCAAAGATTTCATGTCACTGAATTTTTATCATACAGACAACTCTAAGATACTGATTTATATTTTAACGAATAAACAAATGTTATATAATCATATTTTTAGCAGAGTTAATTATTTTCAGTGAAATTAAACAGTTATTTAAGCAAATTTCTGTGAATTTAAAGATAATTCAAGATTTGTGTATTTGTTAAAATTTGTATTTTGTAGAAGTTGTTTAATCTCTTTTGTAAAAAGAATTAGAATTAGTTCTTCTATAAAATAATATGCTTAACTCAACTTGTGAATCATTACAATAAGCTTAAAATTGAGTTTTTTCATTATTTAAGTCTATTGATTAAAAAAACATTAATTAAAATGATGCAATTTTGATGCTTTACTTTACATAAAAGACAATTTCTGGGATCTTCCATTTCCATTGCCAGTTATGAAATTTATTACAATTAGTTCTCAATAAGGTGAACTATTTCTGGAAACATTTGCCATTTGCTATATATCTAATGTTAAAAACATTCAATAAGGTAAACTGTACTTGCAGGACAAATAGTATAATATAATTTTTTGATAGAGTAAATTTCTAAATTTAATGCTGCTAATTTTGAAAAATTTTCAAACTTTGATACTCATCAGACAATACTCTATTAATTAATGTTGCCAATTTACAGATCTACTGGGTATTACTGTTATCTAGACAGTATCTAATTGATAAAAACTTTCCTATCAGACAGCTCAAAAACTAGCATATTTTTTTCAGACATAAATTTACTTGAACAATCAGACAATATTCTAATACTGTAATTATAAGTTACTTTCAAATTTCACTTAGTTCTAATAAAATTTAAGTTGGCAACATTAATCTAAACATGCAATTCTCATTCATTAAATATTGTAAAATCATCTCAAAGAAGATATCATACTTACATGGTGAGAAAGCTGATAAAGATGTAGAAACTTATGAGAAATAACTACCTGATACCATCAAAAAGTAAAACAGTATTCTTTAAATAGTGTTTATAATTTTATTTAGCATAAGGGCTCTTGCAATTTTATGCAAAGTAAAACATTTATGGCCAAAAAGACAAGCCTGTAAATCTAAAAGAATTAAGCAACATATAACTAACTACGTATCAATGCTGATGATACAGATTATCAACAGCTGCTTGTGATTGGAAAGTCAGCCTATCCACAAGCATATAAAAGTGGTGAAAATCTCTTCCTGTAATTTACAAGCATAACAAATCTGCTTGGATTAGTTCATCAATTGCTGAAGAGTATATATATGATTTCAACAACCAAGTAAAAAACAAGAGCAGAGATTTTATTCGTAAGTAATTTAAAAGTGGTCACTCAGCAATACATTTATCTACACATTGAACAACATTGAACTCTTATTTTTACCAAAGAATACATCCTCAGGCCAACTGCTTGATTTGGGTATTATTCATAATTGAAAACATTACCACAGAAATATGTTATTAGAACCAAACATTAAACACATTGACAGTAATGGTAGTGGTGACTAAAGTAAATATTCTTCAAGTAATTGAACTGATTTGCAAAGCCCAAGAGAATAGATGTTTGAATCTATAGGCATCAACATTTTGTAGTTTGTTGTGTGTTCAAATCTGTTAAGTGTTTAATTTGACAATGAGACAAAAAGTGTTAAAAATCATTTAATTAGAAATAAAAGTTGACTCCTTTAATTATATAGTAATTTTCTGAATTAAGATTGATGAAGTCAATAATTCCCAAAATTTCGTTAAACATGAAACTACAGTTAATTATTTAAAAAAAAAAAGTCATAGCTCTAAAGAATTATCAACTGAAGACTTTGTTGATACAATATGGTAATTGATACAATTAATAATGATAATGAACTTATTAATGAATCACAACACATTCCACTAGTCACTTGCTCAATGTGTTACACATTGTTGTGTAACACATTGAGCAAGTGACTACATTGCTGTGTAACACACTTGCACAATAAAACTGATGTTCCCCAATACATTCTTGATAAATTGAATGAAACTGAGCTAAGAGTCAATAATTTAGAACTGGTTGGAAAGTATCAAACTGTAATTACTAATTACTTTATATAAATAAATAAAATTTCTGTTATTCCTCAATAAGGTGCTTTATTTTATAAGGTAAAGTTTTTGTTCAGAACAGCATTTACATTATTGACAACTGATTGTATATGTTAACAATTTATAGTCAGATTTTGTAAAATATACTAAATATATTAATGTTATTAAAATACTGTTCTTCTTAATTAATAATATGAAAATATTAAATGTTATAAAATTCTGAATATCATTAAAACCTTTCTTCTGATGTTAATTAAAAAATAATCAGATTCTTTCAGTTTCTCAAGTTTTGGTCTGACATCAGAAAACTTTCATTGTTTACTTATTTATTTTTTTGAGATATTAGTGTGTAAAATGTGTACACATATAAAAAAATTAATAATAAAAATATATAATTAAATTTTTCATTATAAATTTTGTATTAGTAATTTATTTTAATGTATTAAAACTTCATAATAAATTTTTAACCAAAAATACCAGACTTAGAAATTGTAAATTATAGAGAATTAGAGAGTAGAAACAAACAAGAAACAAAAATAAAAGCTGAAACGAATGCAAAGTTTGAAAGTTGTGATAGCCTTAATTATAACTATTGCAATTTGCACTATTTCTCTGATTTAATAAATACAAATTATTTAAAATTTTCAGCTGCTATAAAAGTAATTTTTATGTTATAGTTTTTAAACTATAAAAATCATGGCCTGTTATTGAAATATTTAAGTCTAAAAATATTTCAGAAATTGTTATTTCAAATAAACTGCTGAACCTATGCAAATCAACAGAATATTCTTTAAATAAATGCAACTTACTTTTTACAGGATTAATGTGATTCTTCTGAGTTAATTGTGTTTTACATTTTTTGCTTAATTTCTTAGATATAAAATGAATATTTGAATCATTTAACACTTCATTATCCTCCTTTTCTTCTTTTTCTGAGTCAGCTATATCATTATCTTTTTTAATATCATTACAGATTTGAGTCTCTTTTGATTTATTTGGTTTAACAACTTTATTTGACAACATTTTGTCATCTGTTTTTTCATTACTTTCCTCCAGTTCTGCTTCATTATCCTTCAACTGATTCTTGATAAATGAGCATTCACCAATAGATTTTTGATCTGTCTCATCTTTTCTGTCATCTTGATCATCATCTTTAGATTTTAAAGGCATTTCTTCACTATCGTTTGGTCCCAATGGTTCACAATCTTCACACAATCTTCGAATTGCCATTGCAACTGTGTCAGACAATCCTTGACAAGAATTATCCTCTTCATNTTGAAAATAGTTGCAATAAAATAATATACAAAAGCTTATCTGAATTGGTAGAAATTAATGAATAAATAAATGCCACTTAATATTAATTTACAAAAATATATATAAGTAAATATGTACATATATAAATACTTAATCAAAAAATATTTTCTGGCCTCTTGAAAATGTATCTTATGTATGTATTTGGATAAAGAGATTAGTAACAAAGATTTTACTTATCTATTTACTGTGTCTAATTATCGTAAAAAATTAATTAGCATTTATGCAGGAAAAATTAACTCAAAACTAGTTCTTTTATAGTTCTGAATTTTGGCATTACAAAAAATCTCAAGACACAAAGATTATTATTTCTGTTTAACATGCTTTGAATACGCAATATAGAAATATAAAGTAATGAAAGTGTAATATTCTAATATAGAACACAAATGCCATACTGTAATTGTTAAATTAAACGTAATAATATAACACTTGTCCTGTAAAGCTGTATTTAAAGCATATGTAATTTAATGGCTAATAGAAAAGTAACGTGAATAATGTTACTTTTCTATTATCCATTGAATTACATTATATGAGTCCAATTATTATAATTTAAACTAGCCACATAATGAGGAATTAAGTTTTTTCACAGACAATGAAATGAACATATAGAATATTCCATTTCAAATAAAAAAATTAGTTGCTGTTGCAGCTATTTATAATGTGTATAATATAATGTAATGTAAATGTATCTATACATTTTAATGTACAATTTATCCATTTAAAATATCATTGAAATTGCATAATAAATGAAAAAATTATAGGAAATGAATATCTAAAATTTGTAAAGTTTAGTACATTTCCAATAAAATATTACTTTTAAAGATTCATCTAGTATCATATAGTGTAAAAGTTAGCATAAAAATATACAACCACTATATAAAAAAAACTTCTTTTATAACTGTTTATAAACTTAAAATTTAAATTTAACATAGTTACTTATTATTAATTATTCATGTAAGAAAACATATCATAGTTTTCAATTATTTAATAAAAAAATATATGATGATTTAACATTTTTACGGTAAAAAATTCTGACAAAAACAAAAATACTATTTTTAATGACATGTAATATTTATTAACTACTGTGCAGTTTATGAACTGCATGTTTGTTATATGTGATGCATTCATGTATAACATAATCAAATATAAAATGCATGAATTGCATGTTATATTTGATTCACTGTACTAGTGTGCAGTTTATTTTTAATGACAAGTACAAATTTTGTATTTTATACCATCAAAAATAAACTGCACACTATAACACTAGTAATGAATAAAATATTAAAATTAATGTAAAAAACATTCAAATTGGTCTGATACAAATGAGAAGGTTAAGAATGCTACTAGATGAATTTATAAGAAAAAACAAATTAAACATTACAGCTTCTTTAAATAAAGAGAAATTAATGTAATTTTCATTGTTAATTATTGATAGTATGTTACTATTTATTTATTCAAGTATTATATTCATTATATATTCATCCAAATAATGTTTTATCAAGCAATAACACACACACTGTAAGTGTATAGCATTTAGCACTTTAATTTATGCAATTTATGTCATAAAAGTCTATACTTTTCAAAACAATATATTTTAAAAACCTTAAAGAATTTAATATACAAAAGCATGGATTTAGATACAAAATGATTAACTTTTTTAAATATGACAACTTTTTATTTATTTGGACATTATGTTTTGTTGCAAGCTTTTGAATTATTTTGCTATTAATATGAATGTAATCAATTATAATGCAAATTACTTTTCAAGAATCAATTTTCCATATCACAAGTGATAATTAATCAAGACTAGTAATTAATCAAATGCTGGATAATCAAGATTCTTTGCACATTTTATATTAATACATAAAGGAAAAATCAAAACAATTTAAAAGATGGAATGCATTATTATATCAAAATAAATATTAATATGAAAAGAGAAAAGGAAAGTATTAATTTTTTCACTCTGTTATGTATAAATATTGAAATAAATTACAAAATTATGATATCGAAATGCACAATAAATTATAATTCAAGAAAAAAAGACAAACAATGCAAGATATTTATCCTATAAAATATCCAGTAACTCTACACAAATCAGGAAGTTAATAAGATGATATCATGAAACAATTGCTGCATTATTGGAAATAATAACATCCTTTACAACTCCATTATAACTTAACAAAAAAAAGCTCAAAGCATCTTTTGCCTCCTTTAAAAGCCAAACTTTAATTAGACACAAATGTTTATCTGAAAAGATTACAAAAATTATAACTTGAATTTTGAATTGCCCAAGTCAAATTTCAAAGTTTAGAGACTGGAATCTTTATGATAACAACCTTTAGATCCTTGAAATTACCATTTTCCCTGCAACAAGTGTTAGTTCAGTTAGGTCCATGATTATTATGAATTAAAATTTTTACATTATTTTTTGTTTTGCTTATTTTTATGTTAATTTATATTTTGTTTACAATTTGAATGTTGTTTATATCTTGTAAAACATTATTCATACAATCCAAAAGTCAAAAACAGTGTGCTGAAATAACCTGTCGGAGTCAGAAAAATTTGTTAATACAATTAACATATTTAGGTAGTTAATTTACATTAGCCTTTCACACATTTCCAGCAGCTACACCATGTTGTGAAACAAAGTGCAAACATTTTTAGTCCCATTAAGTGGCCAATTTCAGGCTTAATCTGAGCGTGAAACTGGCCACCAAAAAGACCAAAAATATTTGCACTTTATATTTTGCAATTTGGTGTAGCTGTTGGAAATGGTGCAAGGTTAATGTAAGTTAATGTATTAATTCCAGCTTTAATTATGATTGATTTTTAGGAAATTTAGTACAGCTTCAGATTATTAAAATGGAATCAAAGAATTAACTTATTAAGGTTAAGAGGCTTAGCACTAGAATGCATTGTTTATACTTTGTATCTTAGTAAAATTACTAAAACTTTCTGAAAGAGAAACTATTTATTGTAATTGTTGATACTGTGATTGGCCATTTAATGATATCAGAATGGGCATGTCTCAAAACAAGTTAAAATATACAGTCGACCCCCCCTATAACATGGTAGATACATTCCGCTTTATAAGAATTTCACATTGTAGGAATCCTTAAATACTTGAGCCAATCACAGCCCAGTACGTGTGCAGTTTACGGACTATGGCTGTTTGAAAGGTTTCTTCCATAAAATTAATCGATTCTAGACTAATTTGACTCAACATTTCCAAAACACGTATAATTTTTTGGGAATAATCCACATAAACTATGCTATAAACAAAAAATTGTAGGATTACTTACTGAGTGTGCACTGTTCGACGACACATTGCTTAAGCTTGTTTTCGTCGCGGAGCAGCGCACCAAATGCAGGCGCATTTTCTGATAAATTATTTTTCTGTGAAAAATTCATTGAACTTTGAAGACATCATTAATCGAAATAATTTTTATGGCCGTTGAATAAGAAATGTTTTTTTCACAAGAAATGTATAAAATTACAGTACTGTATTAGACTTACAGTACCTAATTTAGGCCTATATACTGTACAGACGAGAGTAAACTCAACTTATCCGCCTAAACTCTCCGTAGCATGTAAGTAGTTTGGTTGCTCATCCACTATTGCTCCAGATTTGCCCAATCCTGTCGCGACACGAGTCGGCAATGACGTTTTACCGCATTTTACGAGTCTCTGTTAGCATCTTTATATGAATACGGTCGCAATTTTTTCGCCGCAATATATGAATCCACATTATATGAATCCGTGCTATAGGGGGTCTACTGTACTTATAAAATTTCACTTGTTATAATCAGGGTTTTGGCAATAATTATCATTATTTTCAGATAAACAGGTCTATTTAAGCTGTCTTTTTTTCTTGTTACTAGCATCAACACATAACTGATAATGTGCAATCAATATCAATTAAACAGAAATCAATGCTTTAAGCATCAAACATTAACTGTTTTAACCATTATTTGCTTGCAGTACAATTATTTAATTTGCTACATTTATTACTTTAATTATATACTGGATGAATTACTATTAACTAATAATAATTATGTTGATAATAAAAAATGTATAACCTGAAGATTTATTAAATTGTTTTAAATGTCCTTTTAAAGTTAAGCTTGGTTTCCACATTACTAAAACATGAAACAGAAACCTGAAGAAACATTGTCATTTCCTATCTAGAAATTTCAAACAAACAGATTCCAGATAGAAAAAATATAAAAATTTCTACTTTACTGTTCTGCTATACATTCCATTTTTATACAACACCAATTAGAGAATGATATTTTGGTAATGTAATTTTTTTAAACTGCTGGCAACATTATTTGACAACGTAAAGCTTTTAAATTAAATGATGGAAAAAGAGAATAAAAGAATTCATTTATGACTAATTTTTACCTTTGCTTTGATAAGAAGCAAATTTCATACTGACAAGATATACATTATCAAAGTAGTGTCATTCATTTTTGCTTGTTATTGTTTTTGTTGTTGGCTCTAAGTGTGCTGAGAAATTCTATGCCCAATTTCTGGTATAGTGGATATAGAACAAAAACAAAATAAGAATGGAAACCATTTTTTCAATGAGTCTGTTTATGGTAATATGGAAACAAAACATTAGAATTAATAAAAGTAGAATTTCCATTAAGTATTTTCTTATTTACTTACCCTGCTTAATGTTATCAGTCAATTATTATTTTCAGTATAAGCTCTAACCTGTCAAAAATGACTGGATAACAAAAAAAAAAAAAAAGTTTATTTTTAATTAAAACCATGCAAAAAACTTTTTCAAACTAAAATTTCATTAATTACAATATTTTTTGTAAAAAATGTGTCCTCTCCTAATAACCTGTCCCATTGTCCTAAATCCAAAATATACACTTTCAATTTCTCATAGTTTTAACAATTTACATAATTTTGTCAATCTTTGAATCTACTCATAAATATACCAATT